AGAAAACAAAACTTTCTGTATGTGTAACATTTTTCATGTTTATGTAAATTATGAAATGTGCTTAAGGGTCTCCAATTCCCCACACCTACCCTAGTACTAGAGATTAAAGAGGGCACTTACGAGAATGGAAAATGGACACTTATTGTAATGGAAAATGGGAACTTGTCGAAGGAAAAGGGGCACGTGTCAAAATAAAAGGGGCACTTATCAGAGTAAAAGGAGCACTATTCCTATGTAAAAAGGGGCACTTTTCGGGTGCTTGAAAAAGTGGGGGGGGGGGCACTGTGCCCCTACTCCCCCCCCCCCCCACAGGAGGGAGGCCTCTGCTGGGGAGTATTCCTACCATATGGTCACCGTGAAGGCATAGGCATAACTAACACAAACTAACACGGTAAAGAGTTAATATTCCAGTTTATAGACAATGTACATGGCGCTATAGGGTGGTGAAAAGTTAGCGTAGGGTGGTGAAAAATTAATAGTGCAGTTTATCCATAGACAATGTACATGGCGCTATAGGGTGGTGAAAAGTTAGCGTAGGGTGGTGAAGAGTTAATATTCCAGTTTATCCATAGACAATGTACATGACGCTAGGGTGGTGAAAAGTTAGCGTAGGGTGGTGAAAAATTGATATTCCACTTGATCCATAGACAATGTACATGGCGCCTAGGGTGGTGAAAAGTTAGCGTAGGGTGGTGAAGAGTTAATATTCCATTTTATCCATAGACAATGTACATGGCGCTAGGGTGGTGAAAAGTTAGCGTAGGGTGGTGAAGAGTTAATATTCCAGCTTATCCATAGACAATGTACATGACGCTAGGGTGGTGAAAAGTTAGCGTAGGGTGGTGAACAATTAATATTCCAGTTTATCCATAGACAATGTACATGGCGCTAGGGTGGTGAAAAGTTAGCGTAGGGTGGTGAAGAGTTAATATTACTATTTATCCATAGACAATGTACATGGCGCTAGGGTGGTGAACAGTTTGCGTAGGGTGGTGAAGAGTTAATATTCCAGCTTATCCATAGACAATGTACATAATGACGCTAGGGTGGTGAAAAGTTAGCGTAGGGTGGTGAAAAATTAATATTCCAGTTTATCCATAGATAATGTACATGGCGCTAGGGTGGTGAAAAGTTAGCGTAGGGTGGTGAAGAGTTAATATTACCATTTATCCATAGACAATGTACATGACGCTAGGGTGGTGAAAAGTTAGCGTAGGGTGGTGAAGAGTTAATATTCCAGTTTATCCATAGACAATGTTACATGACGCTTGGGTGGTGAAAAGTTAGCGTAGGGTGGTGAAGAATTAATATTCCAGTTTATCCATAGACACTGTACATGGCGCTAGGGTGGTGAAAAGTTAGCGTAGGGTGGTGAAGAATACTCCAGGTTATCCATAGATAATGTATATGACGCTAGGGTGGTGAAAAGTTAGCGTATAGGGTGGTGAAGAATAAATATTCCACTTTATCCATCATGACGCTGATGTGGTAAAGAGTTGAGATCGTGAAAAATTATATCCATAGAAAATATGTACATGACAGTGACATAATGGTGAATAGTTTCTGCGTGTACCATCTTTCAAATATATAACATATGACAAATAACATGCATGCATGACTTATAATTAAGGTGCGGGGATATATTGCAATTCAAAAGAAGATAATAACTTCTTAATTTCTAACATACATGAGGTGAGGTCTTAGTATAATTCTTTGATTTGCCCCTAAGTACTGCGCTTTACCCCCCCCCCCCCCCCCCTCCATCATCTACTCTCATTATATCCGATCACCATGCCTATTTTAATTGGTAGCCAGCCATCGTTGCACTGATCATGCCTGGCGGATACAATACACAAAGAATATATTGCGTGTGTGTAGTATAGCGGTTGTATGTGTACAATGCGATCCTTACACTTATCAAATTGGCAATTTTTACACATTGGATGGGCTACCTTCATCTCCGATTAGGTGTGTGAAGAAAAGCTTCACCCGTATAAGGGTTCACACGGTACGGTAACCCGGAAGAAAATATACCGGTAACAAAATCCCCCGTAAATCGCAATGCGTGTGTCTCAGACCGTTGAAGGGAATTTCCCACAGCAGCTGAGCGCTTCTCAAAAACAGCTGATTTGAGAAAACAAAATGGATGATTTGGAAGGGCCTTTTCTTTTTAGTAATAATGTGCTATCCGTTTAATGGATCAGCTGTAATGGATTATATATTTTTTTGAGTACCGGTCGCGCTTCCAGGGAGAGGGCAATTTAAAAAAAATATATATATTTTGGTACACAGACAAAGGAGAGATTATTGTTCCACAAAACACCGTGTACATTATTTGATTTTGATTTTCATGAAAATGATTGGTTCAATTGCCAACACAAAAAAGAAAGAAAATGGCATCTAGGTGCCTGTTTGTTAATACCTTGGAATAATAGGCGTCATGAATCATGCCGCTCAATGGGGAATTAAATTTTCAATGTCATGTGAAGATGGAGGCTCCTAATATAGTGGGTCATCTAAACATTTGAAATGGTTGTTCCAGGGCTGACGCTTGTCCTTATAAATGTCATGAAAACTATGGTAAAGAAACAAAAACCAAGAAAGATGTCTTGAACTGAAGAAAAAAAATCAGTCACATTTGGCAGTGGGTGTATGTTGTCTGGATCTGCCGATCGAGTTGAAGGAAATACTCTTTTAACCAGGGCCCCGTTTTCACAATACTTGTCATGACAGTCCTTGTTATACCAGCTACAGAAATCTTTACTTCCATAATTGGTTATCAGCAGATTTGTAACTGAATTATGTCATTTGTCATCGAAAAAGGGCTTTGTGAAACAGGTCCCTGATGAATGTTTCTGTCTAGAAATAAGTTGATTGGCTGCACATGGCTTGTAATGGCAGCGGAAAGGGCGGAAATTGCCCCTTCCTGTTTCATATTTGCTGAACATCATTATCTGATAAGTGTTGTTAGATCTAAGCCGAAATTATAGCGTATTGTTCTTTATGTTCTAATATTTTGGGTAGTGGGTAACGATTAGAGATGCCCTACGTCTACAGATAATACCATTGAAAGATTTCTTGACTTTTATGCGGGAGCCCTTCTTCCTAAGGTGTTCACATGGTTTATGCTGGTCTTTCTTCACTTTTTTTTTGTTGTCTTCATTTTTTTCTCGAGAGAATTTTGTTTCTTCTTGCTGTCTTCATAATTATGACTGCATATGTTTTAGAACTGCCCTTCTTTTGACGAATATTTGCTCTGACTTAGTTTCATTGTTGAAGTTCCATTTTGTTGTTTTCTCAGAGGCATATTGCGATTTTAAGGCATTCTATATCACACATTATATTTAAGCCCATCTGCACTAGTTTGGCCAAGAGGGATTAGACCTCCCTGCATGGTCACTGACAGGTGGTTATTTCATCAAATCAGCTCTCAATTAACATAAGAAAAAGGGGACCGCAAGTGGTGATAAGAAGTGCAGTGGGGCTTTATCACATTTCCCTCCAAATGAAAAGGAAAAACAAAAATTAATACTTTGACATTATAAGCAAGTTTAATCGCTCTATTTCTCTCCCTCTCTCTTTCTTTCTGTTTCTCTTTGTCTCTATCTCTCTTGCACTTTCTCTCCCTCAACATGGATTGTTTGTTGTTTTAAGCACTTTTTAGTGCTTTCGTGTTTTCTTTAAATAAAAGTATCTTTGCATGTTTTATTTTCTTTAAATAAAAGTATCTTTGCAGGTTTTATTTTCTTTAAATAAAAGTATCTTTGCATGTTTTATTTGACAATAAAACATGCAAAGATTCTTTATTTAAAGAAAGCACGAAACCCTTTATTACTATTTTTGGTCTCAATATGTGGAAGATGATTGGAAATGTCGTTGTTTTCTTTCTGAGAAAAAGAAGAAACCAAGGAAGAAAGAAAGAAGCTTCGAAAGAAAGGAGAAAAACAAGAAAGGGGAGAGAACCGTATACGGTACAGGTTGTAGTGATAAAAGGAGTTTGGAAAACCCATATGTTACATGATAAACGTGGGCGTGGCATCATGCCAAAAGTGGGCGTGGTAGACAACTGTTAGCGATTTATTTTTCGGTGGCTGCTGCAATAGGGTCAGTGCTTTTATTAAAATAGATGGCAACTTTTACAAATACAAGAAGAAGAAGACAGGCGCGGATCCAGGGGGGGGGCGAGCGGGCCTTGAAGAAGAAGAAGAAGAAGAAGAAGAAGAAGAAGAAGAAGAAGAAGAAGAAGAAGAAGAAGAAGAAGAAGAAGAAGAAGAAGAAGAAGAAGAAGAAGAAAGAAGAAGAAATAGAAGAAGAAGTAATAGAAGAAGAAGAAGAAGAAGAAGAAGAAGAAGAAGAAGAAGAAATAGAAGAAGAAGAAATAGAAGAAGAAGAAATAGAAGAAGAAGAAGGAGAAGAAGAAAAAGAAGAAGAAGAAGAAGAAGAAGAAGAAGAAGAAGAAGAAACTAAGAAGAAGAAATAAAAGAAGAAGAAGAAGAAGAAGAAGAAGAAGAAGAAGAAGGAAAAGAAGAAGAAAAAGAAGAAGAAGAAGAAGAAGAAGAAGAAGAAGAAGAAGAAGAAGAAGAAGAAGAAGAAGAACGTGCTTAGGGAATTTTGTTCGCCACTTTTTTCATCACAGAGACGTACCCGATTCAGCCAATCTGAAGAGCCAATATATAGTGATTACAACTTTCAAGTTTCAACAATTCATAATTTTCAAATTTTTGTCCGATATCATTCAGAATTTCACCATGTCAGTCTACTCCTTTGATTTTTCTACGAGCCTTGAATAGAACCCGAGTTCATTTTCTTCTTCTTCCTTTCTCTTCAATCTTGGTTGGCACCACTGACAGTGGTTGGCACCGGTGTGTATCAGAATATTTATTGATTAGTACACACAGTGAACGCTAAATTTGGAAGCGAACCGTACGCACTTTACTGTACATGTAAACCTACACATATTAGTAAGCTAGCTAGCTTCACTGCACAGTACATACACCTCCGGCCGACTCGCGAATACAAATACTGTGTGTGACGTGGCGATGTTATAGTCATCATTCGACGGTTGTTGGATACCTACTATAAATCGACTGTAATCTACGTTGGTATTTGCTTTAGGCATTATTCTATCATATCAATATGTGGAAAAGACTTTTAAGATTATCATTTGCCATTTTTACCGTGATTCTAGCGGTGAAAGGAGATGAACACAATCATGAAGTAAGTCGATGTTTTGTTTTTGTGATCAACTTTTTGGTGGAAACCCTGGGATCGACGACTGTCGTTTACCGGTGTTCTAATTCTGGAGACTAGTTTGACTACGCTACGTGTCGGCTGTTATTTCAGCATGCAATACATCCGAAATTGTTTAATATGTGGGCCGGGTAGATCTATTTTATCAGGTTATTTGGGGTTGGGGTTAGATTATCAGAGTTACATGCATGTAGTTACCACTTAGATCTACCTACGATTTACGAAAGTTAAGTTCATGATTTAGATTTAGGCCTAGCTTCTTTCATTTTCAAGTTTCAGTCTTTTGTAAACCTGGTAAATTGTATCTCTGTCCATAATTTTCATGTCATCTAGATCTATTATTTTATTGATTGGTTGATTATGTATGATGGAATAGCCTTGAGAGCCGAGGGCTAGGTGATATGAAATGTGATGTTGATACCACATACTCGGAGGCCATAGTTACCCCTGTGTGAAGAGTGAAAGCGATGTAAACAAAATGCGCACTTTATGAAGAACTTTATAAAGCCGAGGGGTGACCAAAGTTTGCGCAGATTTTAGAACATATTAGAAAATGTGATATTAGTTCCATGCCTTGTAATATCCTACACAAATTTATTTATTTTAATTTATACCAAATGGACAGCAAAGTATGTAACTACCAATTGGTTCAACTAGAAAATTTATCGTCGAAGGATTTCAGAGATATTGCGATCTAAAAATTCGATGTTCGATCATGCGTGCGCGCTGCATCTAAAAAAGTCATAAAAACAACGAGACCTAACTTCACGCACGGGGGGTTTACAGCTGATTCATTAAAAAATATGATCCATCAAAAGTAAGGTAATTTCATCATTTGCAAGACAAGATATCATACAATCAGTCGGTACCACTTATTACTCACAATTTTGAGGATATCTGCTCTCAAAATGAAGATTTCCAGACCCTTATCAGTTAAACTGACCACACATAAAATAGAAAAATCAACAAACATTTCAGAATAAATTTCCAGTTTGTAGGTACAACTTAAACATGACGAAAATGAGAACCTTGCACACTGACTGCAGAGATGGCTCGTGCATAGTGCCAATAGTGGACTCTTCTTTCTTCTCAAAGCACTAATAAGTTTGGAATTGGTTGAGAATGTATTCCCTAAATATGTGAAAATTTGTAACACTAACAGGAGTGATGGCGTTTTGCTTACGTGTACCTTTCACATATTCCTGATTAATGCAATTTCATAAACGCTGATCTCTCATGAGAGTTTGCAATGGTGGATCAACCCAAAAGCAAATGCATACGGTGTATGTGAAAATGCCTGTTATCGCCTTGCAAAATTGATGCCGAGTCGCTGACTTATTAACAATAATAGCGATTGGTTTAGTGTACTGTTGTGCATGCACATATTTTGCTGAGTTTGTTGAGCTCCCCGCCCACACACCTTTTTACACTAATCTCTATTAGTATTATCCTAAATAGGTATTAAATTGACAATGCGAAATGGCTTTTTGAGTGTACACTGCATGCATGTGTTAGCATTTCCGGCAGAATAAACATCCTAACCTTTATCATTATGAATCATATAGTTACCAGAGAGAAACAGGCATACATTTAAATAGTTGTAAACAAGTTTATTATTCTGGCATTGTTGACGACTGCAGGCAGCAGAACTTGACACAGCCCCACAGACGGATAGTTACACGCGTGGGCTTTGAAAATCTGACCACCGGTACATGTACCATAATATGTCAATGTGTGGCTATGTCAAATAATACCAGCTGCACAAGTGAAAATGATACCCGATACCCCCAAATCAATGTTAAATGGATTGGAAAAAATTTCACTTTTCGGTTAAACTCTGCTTTATGTTTTGGGGTTTCCAGGATGAAAATAAGACATTAAACCCTGTCTGTACTAGTTTGGCCAGGAGGGATTAGACCAGCATGGTCACTGACAGGTGGATATCTCATCAACTCAGCTCTCAATTAACATTAGAAAAAGATCTTGGGGTACCAACAGTGTTATTTTTCTTTGAAATATGAACCAGAGCAAAATAACACTGAGTTTCTATAGGAAATCTATTTATTTCAGATGGTCATATCTCAGCCAATCCATAACATATTTAATTGGTTTTCGACATTTGGACATTATTTTTGATGCCTTTCAGAAAATGAAAACAAAATTGAGAAATTCCCAAAAAAGATTTTTGATGACGTCACACTTGACTTCACCACTCTATTGTGCAAAATGCCTGGGAATCTTTATACACTGTACCTGATTTGATGTGTGATTTAATAAGAAATCCTGTCATTTGTTTATTGATGTAGAAGGTTATCCTCAGCTGAACAAACAAAGCATACAGAGCATGTGTAAAATAAACTTCCCGTTTGAAATCTTTCCAAAAAAATTGATTGCAGCATTTCATTGTAGAAAACAAACGATGCGCATGCACCTTTACATGTTTTTTTTTATTTTCTTGTTTTACTCTTTGCCTTCCTGGTATTGGAATTACAAGACATGCCATAGTGTAGGTCTATTATATACATGTATTGTAAAGGATGGAAAACTGTTAATTTTTCTCTCTCCCCTTTCACTCCTTCCCTCTCTCAAAGAGTAATACTAATAACACAACAACAGCAGCATCGACAATTGTAGTAAAAGAAGAAAAAAAACACAGCCAGAAGTTGGATTTTGTTACAATTATTAAAACATCACAAGAATAGCAAACACATGTATAGTGTATATGACCATACCAAGTTGTACTGGTACATGTATGTGTGTGTAAAACTATTTTCACTGTACTTTACAGGTGCATGTAATACATGATTAAAGTTTGTCTGGTTGTCCTCGCTAATAAATATACACAAGATAAAAAAATACTCAACAGCTGATTTAGATGTGCAAATATGCACATGTGCACAGCATTCTCCAATTAACCCTATTCCTCAACCTCTCTCTTTTGCTTTGTAGTACGCAGACAAGGAAGAGGTGGTGCTGTGGATGAACACCGTCGGTCCGTACCACAATCGACAGGAGACCTACAGTTACTTCTCGCTCCCATTCTGCCGAGGGCCCCAGCAGGGCATCAGCCATTACCATGAAACTCTGGGCGAGGCCTTGCAGGGCGTCGAGCTCGAGTTCAGCGGTCTAGACATCGATTATAAATGTAAGCCTTGAAGGAGAGGTCATTCATGCTTCTCTTCAATAATTATAGCAATTTCATTGTCATATTGCTATTTTTTAACATTTTCCTCTTCAAGTTCAAATGAAGGAAAATCTAATGGATGTTTTTGCATCTACCGGTAAACTTGGCTGTAAAACTGTCCTCTCTGTTCATTTATTAGCAAGAAGCTAAATTTTATCTTAGATCCATTTATAGGCTTTTTTGTGGAAGTAGAGTTATTGATCACTCTATGATCTCTTGTTTCATTATTTTCTCTTCCCTAAATTAGCTACCTGGTCCATGAATTGTTTCTGTTACCCCTATAACGTTGTTGATTAATTGAATAAACTCTAACTTACCCAACAGTCCTTGCTATGAAATTGACATTGTATCACTTCAATTTGATTTGCTTCTGTTCCCCCAGTTTGTGTTGGGTTATTTTTCCAGCACAAATCTTTAAGGAATGCATTGTGGTATTGATATTGTATTAATTCTGTACGATTTGTTTCTATTTCCCCCTGTTATATTTATTGTTTTTATCAGTGGATAAACCCCAGAATCAGTACTGTGAGATTGTTGTCACAGATGAGATCATGAGGGCTTTCTCGTACGCAGTCAAGAACCACTACTGGTACCAGATGTACATTGATGATCTACCCATCTGGGGTGAGTTGGTAGTTGGCACTGTTAAAGTGACTTGGTAACATTGCCTCAGATTCTGAAACAAAATCCTGGATTTAGCTCATGCTGCCATCATAATTATAAACCTTTGGGTCATACATGAATCCTATGACTTTCACAAGCCAATCGCATGTCTGATTATCAAGATATTTATGATTGAAAATCAAAAACAAATTTCGCGTTTTCCCAATGTTTTTTGTAACACTACAGTCTATTAGGTAAAATGAGTATGGTAAAACCGGTCACTCAAAGATTTTTACTTTTTTGAGGCACTTCATGATCATTTTGAAGCGCAATTTTTTAGGGCTTCAATATTACACCATATCACAGACACTGACAACACGTAGGGCCATGCATCTCAGATTTAACATTGTTAAACGATGCCTTTAAAGAGAAGGTTCATTGATTTTGAATTTGACGGAATTTGGTGGAAGTTGGTATCATTGTATTTGTAAACTTACACTGAGTAAGAATATCACATTTGTTTAACTTGTAAATTTGAGTGAAAACTATAAAAGTTGATTAAAATTGATGAAAAATCTAGATTTTAAATGCACACTTATATCACCTTCCAAGAGCCAGAAAAATAGACTTGACCTTGTAAAGACTTGATTGACTGTGTCTGTCAGAAGCCAATATGTGATTTTTTTATAATACAACTCTTGGTATCACCGCCATTATTCTTCCATAATTTCATTTCTACTAATCAACCCTAATTCTCACCAATTCCTTTCTCATCCCCCCCCCCCCTCTACACCCCACAGGGATCATCGGAGAGGCTGATGAAAATGGCCAGGACTACTACATCTGGACCCACAAGAAGCTGGACATTGGGTACAATAACAACCAGATCGTGGACGTTAACCTGACCTCCGAGGTCAAGGTCAAGCTTGAGAAGGGGATCAAGATTCCCTTCACCTACCAGATCACGTGGAAGAAGTCAGCCATCACCTTCAAGAAGCGATTCGACAAGTACCTTGATCCCAACTTCTTCCAACACAGGGTATGTTGCTCATCCTATGATAGGCACAAAATCCTTAATGCGGGACTGCACTTACGGTGACCATAATGTAGGAATACTCTTAAGGGAGTGGAGATGGTGCTCATTGTGCGTGAACGAATCCAATGACTAGGGTAATGATAACTGTCAAGCGCTTGGAGACGGTGTTCCATATTAAGCGCTATATAGATCCAGATTATTGCAGTCAAACCTGCTTCAGTAACCACCTTTCTACAAAGACCACCTGTCTACAAAGACTACATTCCTTGTTTCCCTTGAAAATGGTTTCTCATTAAAACATGTACTAAAGGAACCTGTCTACAAAGAACACCTTTTGTGTTTCCCTTGGACGGTCGCTATAGACAGGTTTGACTGTATTATTATTAAATCTCTTTTTCTCTTGTAGATCCACTGGTTCTCCATCTTCAACTCCTTCATGATGGTCATCTTCCTGGTTGGACTGGTCTCCATGATCCTCATGAGGACCCTCAGGAAAGACTACGCCCGTTACAGCAGGGATGACGATCTGGATGATATGGTATGTAGCAAAACATCTATAGGGAAGATAACTGGACTTCTGTGCAGACAAAGAAACAAGAATCATAAGAAATTATTATGTCATATGGTTTAATATGATTGTTGTGTCTAGCATACTGAGAGAAAAAATGATACTCTGATAAAATCCAGCACATATTATTACAGCAATATGATGACTACTGGAAAACCAGAATTGTATGCCTCTGTTGCGAAGTAGCCGGAGGCATTATGTTCTGGGGTTGTCCGTCTGTCCGTACATCCCGTTCTCGTGATCGCTTTATCTCAAGAAGCGATTGATGGATTCCTGCCAAACTTAGTTCATGTATGTATTTTGCAGAGCTAATGAATTGATTAGATTTTGGGGTTATGAGGTCAAAGGCCACAGTGCCCATTATGTATGCAAAAATAGCTTGTGATCACGTTATTTCAAGAACTGATTAATGGATTAATGCCAAACTTTCACAAAGATCAGTCGAACTTAACTCTAAGTTAGACTTAACAATAATGGAAAGCTGTAAGCATCTTTGAAAATATTTTGTTATTTTAAAAGGCATGAAATGTTGATTCAAATTTTCATATTTTCTATTATCAAGGAGATTTCATGTTCTTGATGTGGAATTTATGAAAAGTTTAAGATACTTAAATTTTTGCTTTTAATATATTGTATTTTAAGGCTGCAAATGGCTCTTCATTATGTTTAAGTCCAACTTAGAGTTTGACTTAGATCTCTGAGAAACACCCCCCTTGTATACTTGGGGGAATCGAAAGGAATCCATGAAAATGTTTTCACCTTGTCAGCGTAGTCTACTATAGTAATGGTGAATATGACGTTTTTTTTCTTTCTAATAGGAACGTGACCTTGGTGATGAGTATGGATGGAAGCAGGTTCATGGGGATGTGTTCAGACCTCCAACCTACCCTACTATATTCTCTGCATTGATCGGCAATGGATATCACATGTGTACAGTAGTACTGTCTGTCATTTTATTCTGCATTTGGGGCCATCTCTACACTGAGTGAGTATTATCAGTAGAAATTTTCTGATGACTAAAGCTTACATTTGAGTATGCATTTGGTTATTACTTGTGGTCAGTTATTGTCATTTGGTCACCAAGGTTCCTTTGGTTTATCAAATAGATGTATTGTTTTCAAAATGTTGATGAACGAGGTACTTCCTGGTACCCTCCAGCATACACATAGGACTATTGTTTTGCAAACGGTTGCTTGCGCTTGAACAAGACATTTGTACAGATTATAGATGTACTCATTATTGTGAATAGATGAGATTTTTTTTTGTAACACATAACTGCAAATGATATATACTTACCATTTCCCCCATCAACGCACATGGTTAGAGTAGACCATCTCTTTCCATGGTTTTATCAAACATGGGGGTAGAGTAAACCCATCACTCCTAAAACTCAGAAGATCTGTCATCAGGCCATCTGTACCTGTCAGAGTGAACATTAATACAACAAGCAACCAGCTTTGCATTTTGAACGTTTTTTTAAATATTTTTAATTATGATAATCTAACATATTGAAATACTGCTAATTGTTTTCATGCATGATGATGATTACTAAAATATGGAGAGAATTTCAGTATAATGATTACATATGAAGCCTCGGACTGTGTCAATGAGTGCATAACTATAATTGAAACATGCTCAATTTAAAAAAAATTAAACCAGACAAAGATACAACCATTAACAACAAAAATGAACGGTCGTTAATTGTTTGTTCTCTACATACATTTGTTTGAAATGATATTCTAATTTAAAAAAATTAAATTAAAAATCGATACAAACTACCTTCATATAAAGATGTAGGATTGAAAGAACCAAGCGACTAACAATATTTTCATTGTCTCCATGTCAGCCGCGGTTCCATCCTGAGTACAGCCATCTTTGCCTATGCTGCTACAGCCCCTGTAAACGGTTACTATGGAGGAGGACTCTATTCAAGAATAGGAGGTGAGCATTGTCAATTGTAGAAAAAAAAACAGGGGGGTGTTTCACAAAGATCCTAAGTCGAACTTAACTCTAAGTTGGACTTAAAAGTTATGGAGAGCCATTTGTAGCCTTAAAATTAAACATTTCCAAAGGCAAAAATTGAAGTATTTTAGACATTTCATAAATTCCAAATCAAAAACATGAACTCTCCTTGATGAAAGGAAATACAAATGATTTGAATCAACATTTTATGCCTTTTAAATAACTTTGACAAAATATTTTCAAAGATGGTAATGGATTTCCATAATTGCTAAGTCTAACTTAGAGATAAGTTCAACTTATGATCTTTGTGAAACACCCCCCTGGAATCAGGGGATTTCTGGCTAAAAATTCAAGCCTTGGCTGTCAGCACTGATTGTATTTGACAAAGGGTTAATCCTGTTCAGCTATTTAGGGCCCTCTAGTCTCCTTGGATGTTAAAGGTATAGACCAGTTTTGGAAACGCCCCCCTCTCAAAAAATGAAATGGAAGCTCTTATTACCAATCATGCGAAAGAATATGTTTTGACTAATACGTGATGATACAAATTTTGCCGGGAAACCGCCTACTAATTGATATTGTGTAAACTATTGTATCTAATTGGACTGGATAGATATTGTGTAGTCCCATATACATCTTTCTGTGTATAGTTTTTGTAACTTTACCAAGACTGTGCCAAATTTCTTATCATTTTGATGATTCAAGAACCTTGCAGTACGCACCAATACTTATATGCTAGATGATCAACCTTTTCTGATCGATTCCACCACGTTTCTTTCCAGTGAAAAATATACACAGGGGCTCGGGGCGAATTAGCCCCCGAAATGCCCAAAAGAGCCCCCGAAAGTCATAAAAGAGCCCCCGAAAATTTGCATAGAGTTCAATTCAAAACAAATTAAAGAGTGTTATTTTCATGCCAGCAAGCTTGAAAAGTAGCCCCCGAAATGTTTAAAGTATTTTTTTCCCTGTTTCTTTCACAATGCAACCTCATGACCAGAACTGGCCTATACATTTAACAATCAAACAAAAGTGGTCCTAGTAAGTAATGTCCCAATGCCCAAATTGGAGCTGAGCCCTTAAAATAATGCAAACATCATGAAAGGCTTACCATGAACACTATCCCTGAACAACTTTCCTCTGCGACAAATACTTCTAGTTGTATACACCGAAGCAACTACATTTTGGGGGGTAGTTAAATGGGCAATAATCACCAGGGGAGAGGGGTAGCTGTCCTATAAAGTTGTAGTTTCTAGGGGGTAGTTGTTTCGTTTCGGCTGGTGGTAGGATAGGTGAATGGTATCGCAGAAGTGCTGGTAATGGCTTTCAAAGCCAGAAGCTAGAGCACACAGGAAATGCATAGATTCTTGTATACGATGTGCACTTTACAAGAGTGTACTGTGATTATTCTTTTTCCAGTGCCCTTACATTCCTGTATCTGCCTCTATGCTTTACCAAACCAACTTTACATCCAGTTAGGTTTTTGCATGGTCGCGCTGAGTCATTTGGGTGAAAGCATCAAGTGGCTAATCCCTCTCATGTGCCCCATTGTTGTGATTTGACTCCCTATTGTTGTGAGCTGAGTATTTGTACAAGTATATTGACACACCCTCTAATCCCACAATCTGGACAATTGGCCCTCTCCTTTATAAACCTTTGACATGAATAATTGTTTGTCAACTCAACTCAAATTGAATAATAATTTTGCAATTCTTTGCAGCCAAAGGCTGCATTGCACATGTTTACGACAATTTCTAAATATCATTTCTCATTACATTGTACCATTAGAATATTGAATTACAAATTATATTTGCTTAAAGCCTATCTGCACTAGTTTGGCCAGGATTCATTGATTATTTTATGAGTGAGTTTTATTGTAAAGCAATCGCTTAACATTTGTTTAATTAGCATTCTAAATTCTGAGCAATAATCAATAAAGCTTTTAACTATAACAGGTGTCATATTTTTATTACAAAATTTGCTCCCACTTAAATTGTCGAATTCAATTTCATTAGCTACATGTAGTAAGGGTTATTGTAACCTGTTTCTGACATAAGGTTGTAAGAAACATGGCCAAGCCCGCCCTATTCATCTGAAGTGGAATTGATCACTTTATCTGTATTCTAACTTGTTATATATTTTGTTACTTTTCAGGGAAATTATGGATCAAACAGATGGTGTTGGGGGCTTTTCTCGTGCCGATGAGCGTCTGTGGCATCGCATTCTTAATCAACTTCATTGCTATGTATTACCATGCATCCAGGGCTATCCCACTGGGAACAATGGTGAGTAGTTACTTTGATGATGATAATAATAATAATAGTGGCGACTTGTATATTGTACAGGTCTACCTTTCGGTGCACATGGCGCTTAGAGAAAAATACATGATTGTTTTACCCGACTGCTAAGAAAGCATGTGCTATGCATGTAGGCATGGTCTGAAATTCCTTGAAAGAAAAGAGATAGAAGTTATGTTAGCATTGAGTTGTTGACTTGAAGCTGATGATAATCGTATCGCTATATTTCTTATAGCTTTTCTTCTTTAAGATTAGCAACGACATTGAGTGTCTCACTGAGTGACTTTCTAGCCCTTTTCAAAAATGATACTTTGAAAGGTACTGTCTTGCATTTTACCTAACTCAAAAAAAGTAGTTGAACTGTTTACTGAGTTTGCTTGTTATTATTACAAAATACATATAATATTCTTTCCATACTAAAAATGACATTCCATTATACTAGCTCGCTTTGCTCCCTCTCAAATTTTAGAAACAAATGTGTCTGTACATGTGTTTAATGCACTTGACGAGCACCAGATTCAAAATGAATCTTCTGTAATGAATTTGGGATGAGGATGACGTGATTTATTTACGTCTTAAAAAATGCTGGTATAGGCACATGGTATACCCAACAATCACACTCGAGCAGGTTTGTTTAAAAGTTCATAAATTGGGTGCATGAGATTGATTCACTATGATGATAATAATGTTCCGCTTATATAGCGCTTAATACGATGTCTTTAAGTGCTTTACAGATATACTATTACCCCGGTCATTGGATTCAGTGCTTGCCCGCACACACTGTGCACATTCTCCACTCCCTGGGGAGCATTCCAGTCGGGCGTTACTTGATGCTCAAAAACTGTTTGACCAACAATGCCGTCGCATCCTACCGGGTACCCATTTAACACCTATTCATGCAACCGTTTTTGTCTCTTTATCGTCTACTACAGCTTGCAGTGTCGGCCATCTGTCTGTTTGTGATCCTACCCCTGAACCTGGTGGGTACCATCCTGGGCAGGGCGTTGGCCGGTCAACCCAATCACCCCTGCAGGGTCAACGCAGTGCCACGCCCAATCCCAGAGAAGAAGTGGTTCATGGAACCTGCTGTCATCGTGCTGCTTGGGGGTGTCCTACCATTCGGCTCCATCTTTATTGAAATGTAAGTTTTAGGCTTTCTGGCAAATAATTGTGACTGTTTTCATTTGTTCATTTATTTCCATCTTCATATAAAAACAATAGATCATTACAATATTATACATTACCAAAAAAAAATACATGCAATCATACATGTTAACGGTATCAAAGAGAACAAATTTACCAGTCAAAAATGAGAAAAGGGGAACTAACATAAGACCAAAAGGCCTTGTAAAATAAGTTCCCTAAAAGTATAAAATTAGCATTTGGTTTGGATGTTACTTCTATGTGAAATTTATAATGTGGTATCATAAAAATATATTGAATCTTTTGTTCGGTGATTACTTATTTCAAAGAGTAATCGATCAACGAGAAACATCCTTACTCAACCATGAATATTTCAAGGATGCAATTTAGCACCAAGAAAAATGGTATGCTAATCAATTCTGGTTTATTGTAAATAAAAACATGCTGAATAAAAAGTCTGGAGACTCAGACAATTCAGTTTACAAATTATATGTACATACAAAATTATAAGAAATCAATACTTTCAGCAATCTTCATATCAATTACTGATTCTACCTAACTAATACCAAAGAATCGTAGAATTAAACATGTAGTAATTATTCAGTTATAACATTTAAATAATTAAATATGTTCTCCACATTTTCTAAATGTCATTTTCTTACACTTTCAAATTAATAAGTAATCATTTTTAACCTAGTTCACATTTCTTTTAGTATTATATTTCTATATGGATGATTATCACAAGAAATATAATAGTACAAAATATTAAAATTATGATTACTAACAGACTAGTCCTATCAGTATACTATGAAATCTGATTTAATCTAGTTAATTGGCATAAAAATAAGTTTATCACTTCTTGATCCAGACACCTGAACATAATATGGGATAAACATAACTACAGACTTGAATTCAAGATTTGTGTGAAGTAGGGAATGGGGAATGGGAGACTGCCTGTAACGCTCTGTTCTCATTTTGGGGGTATTGAGCTGAAGAGGGTTGCGGAGAGTGCGTCGTGAGACGTTCGTTTAATTTCAGGCAAGAGATGGCGGTGGTGGTCTGAGGTCAGCAGGGATTTGGCAAACTTTTCACAAAGAACAGAGCGTCCGTCGTTCAGACAGTCTGACACCTGCTATGGTATGATGTAGAGCTGTGGAGTTGTGCTTTGAATCTCTTCCACGGAGTACTGGGGAGCTCCTGGCCTGGCCTGGTAGCTAATGTTTTATGAGTCGGTGACATCTCTGTATTGTACATATAGCTAGTGTGTGAGCAGGCACGTATATCACTAAGACGTATAAATAGAGAACAGTCCAGACGCTGGACTACTGTCAAATTTTCAACCCATGACTCTCTGTTGGCGACCACATAAAAAGGACTTGATCCGATGCCATAGATTTCTGCATATGTTGTACTGCAGTGATAGCTTGTTTATACAGATGCCATGTGGCATTTTGTCAAAAGCTCGCGAAAAGTCAAGTGAGAGATCACATCTACTGGGCAAGAAGGAGGGCCTTCAAGACAATGCAACCACTCATTGGTTAGATGCAAAACTTGAGTTACACATGATTTTCCTTTCTGGAAGCCATGTTGCACATTGGTGATTGGACAACAGGTATCGCAGTGGCTCCGTATGGCTTTAGCAACAAAGGACTCCTTGATCTTGCTGGTTAGAGATGTCAATGCAACAGGACAGTAATTGAATGGCCGTCTTCAAAAACAGGGGTGATGCTAGAAGATTTCCAAGAGGTTGGAACTTTGCCTGAGGCCAGTGATTTATTGAAGATACGTTGTAAGATATGGCATGACACAAGTACGGTTTCCTTCAGTAACGGTGCTCTAGTCTCTTCTTCTTCAAGATAATCTGCCTCCTTCAATACTGAAGATTCTTGCAGATGCCATATACTTGGCCTGATTGGGGTATGCAGGTGGACCATTACACCAGGGTTTCCCCCTACTCTTGTACGAATAGTGCAATGAGTTCGTAACATGGAAGGGTGGTGACTCTCCTCTACACGGGGCCTCCATTTAACATCCTATCCGGAAACAAAAACAGAGTGTTTTCCACTTAACATAGCATGCGTCTATGAACAAGGGAAGGGGCACGTTAACACACAACGCAGTCAACTAATCTCTCCTGTTTCTCTTCTTGCAGGTACTTCATCTTCACATCTTTCTGGGCCTACAAGATCTACTACGTCTTTGGCTTCATGCTCCTGGTGTTCTTCATCCTGGCCGTGGTGACGATATGCGTGACCATCGTCTGCACCTACTTCTTACTCAACGCGGAGGACTATCGCTGGCAGTGGACCAGCTTCCTGGCGGCAGCCTCCACGTGCTTCTATGTCTACTTGTACAGTTTCTATTACTTCCTCTTCAAAACAAAGTAAGTGGCATTTTCTATCTTCTTGCGTCTGTTTACGAGTCGTCTTTATAGAGATTTCCATGATATTTTTATAAATTACACATCAGTATGTGGCAGCAGCCTTCACATGCTTCTATGTCTACTTGTACAGTTTCTATTACTTCCTCTTCAAAAAAAAGTAAGTGGCATGGATGGACGAGTGTTTTTTGAATGCCCAGGAGAAGTGGGGGGAACATGTGTACAGCTCTTGTAGTATCTGTTCTACAGTGTCCACTTTTTCCATCTTCTTGTGTAGTTTTAAGAGTCATCTTTATTCTCTTTGTGCATTACTGTTAAAGGCATCGTTTAACAATGTTAAATCTGAGATGCACGGCCCTATGTGTTATCAGTGTCTGTGATATGGTGTAATATTGAAGCCCTAAAACAATTGCGCTTCAAAATGATCAAGAAGAAAAAATCTTTGACTGACCGGTTTTACCATACTCGTCTTCCCCAATAGACTGTAGTGTTATGAAAACCGTTAGGAAAATGCAAAATTTGGTTTTGATTTCCAATCATAAATATCATGATAATCAGACAGGCGATCAGCTTGTAAAAGTCATGGGGTTCCTGACTGACCTAAAGTTTTATAATTATCATTGCAGCATTAGCTAAATCCAGGATTTTGTTTCAGAACCTTAGACAAAGTTACCGGATGTCCGGATCCCTTTAAGAAAACATAAATGCTTGTTAGTAAGCAACCAGAGGATGTTTGGATAGATGCACTTCACTTTTCATGAACCCATTTTGAATTTCAAGAAGAAAGAACACCTGTTCTCTGTATACAAACAAAAATAATGGAAAAAATATATTGGATGTTATGTTTTTACAAAGGCATGTTCAGGGAGGCGTTTCATGAAACAATTAGTTGGTGGTTTTCACCGACCGATACCATTTTCACCAACAATTTAGCCAGCACTGACTAAATTTGACCAATAAGAGGCCTGGAAAATAATCAGTGACAATAGAATTGTTGGTGAAAATGATATGTTGGTGAAAACCACCAACAAATTTTTTCATGAAACGCCCCCCCGGTTTTACTTTTTTTGTTTTGTATGCTAATTTCAACAATATCAGATTTTCCATCTCATGGCTTCTTACACACTTTTCTCTCACTTTTTATTTCAGAATGTACGGCTTGTTTCAAACCACGTTTTACTTTGGCTACATGGCCCTGTTTAGTTTATCGCTAGGTGTGATGTGCGGAACGATCGGCTACGCGGGAACGGGGATCTTCGTAAGAAAGATCTACTCCACTGTCAAAATAGATTAGAACAGTAAAATGGATCGGCCGTCTGGCTTCGTGCATCATCTTGAATCCTAGATCAAGGGTCGTGTCTGGATGGGCAGTCGCCGCAAAAGAAAAGTCTTGGAATATTGAATGAGTGGAACATTAAACGACAAGGGTGGATATTGAACTTTTTGAGGCTTAGAGTTTTATATAGAACGGTGCATCCGTTTGGAGCCAGAATGACGTTAACTTTGTGTTAAACAACAGGAGTTAATGCCCTTCTGGCTCCAACCAGATGAGGTGTCGGAAAGAGACCAGGAAATTTCTTTCAAACGTTAATTAATTCATGGTTGTTCAGAACAAAATGCCTCGTGTATTTTCCAAGCAGGCATGCACGCATGGATATCAAGTGTTCACTGATGCTAAATGAATCCCAGTGTTGTATCTGGAGAACTTACATTCGTAGATATTCTGATTGAGCTAGGGAAAGGGGGATTGAGACCAATAGAGAACGGAAGAGAAAAGAGAGAGAGAGAGAGAGGAAATGATTGAGCCAGTATGTGTATCACAAGATAAAAAGATTCATGAAAATTACATTTTGTTATATTTTATAATGTGTGACCATTTTCACCCCATAAGCATATAGATATTTTGATGTTTCAATATATTTATTACCAAGATCGAAGAGGCATGAATAGATGAAGGGACCACTGAAAGTGTCCCCGCATTTTGATTCACCAGCCCTTGCAAGATCTTGAAATATTGATTGAAAAGCGGATGTGGAATAAAGATGAAGAGAGCTAATAGGGAGTATTATATAGTTATAGACATTATATAGGAAAAGAGCAGTAAAAAATATGTATTATTTGAGTACAATGTTTATCATTAATTTTTATCTTTTTCTTTTTTATGCTTTGTTTAAATACCAGTCGCGGAAATGTGCTCCTATGTTATGATTTTATGAAAGTAACTTACTGCGATGTATGGTGTAATATATGTCTTATACATCTTCTAATTGAGGTGTACAAGTGTAAATTTGAAGAGGAAGGTTTGTGGAGAGAGCATTAATAGTTTGGATATTATGAACTTATGATACAAATAAGTTTGCAAATTTTCTGCGGAGAGATATATATGATGATTCCATCAAAAGTAAAAACCAAGAAACTAAGACTATTTGGCCATAAAAAATTGTTATATTCAATTTTTTCGAAAGCAGAAGTGTTATGGGGCTAAATTTTCTAGTGCTTATAATACATTCACGGGGGCATCCAAATATATCAAAATTGTAAAGAACCCCTATCCACCCAATTTTCAACATTTCCCAAAACTTTGTATTACCTTTAAGGGAAGTCTCACTGTTGTTTGCACAGATTCAGAAAGTTTTGAAAGGGTGAAGCTGCCTGGCACACAGTTTGCGAAGAAGTGCAATAGAGTTCCAGTGGTGCACTTTGTCGTTCTTTACACTTAAAAATGGCCGAGTTATTTCGGTAGTCTCACGTTAAAAGAAAGTGTGGATGCATTCCTTGTGGATTCCTTTTGAGACACATGTATCACAGGCATTCATAACTGACCCCAAGAATAGTTCATCAGCTCACATCCATCAACCATTGTATGAAAATAATATTGCAAGAATCTGTAATAGCTCAGTTGATATATGTTGCTATGTCAGACAGTCCTCTTTATTTTCACAGAGGCCAGTCTGTTGGCATATTTGTGGCTCATTTATGTGAGTACTTGGTGTACAAGAAGAGAAAGAAATGTCTTCATGACCATGTTATTGAACACGTACAACATAGCACTGCTTTCAACTTTTCTTACGACTGAAAGGCGATGTTGGGTTGTCCTCTGATTCCCCATACTGGATATAAATGTTGCTACAAGTGTTATTGTAAACAACCATCTTCATGTTTTATTAAATAATGAGAGAGAGAGAAGTTTATACTTTTGTGTCAAAACTCAAAACTACGTCGCAATTTTCAGGATTATTAAACAAGTTATTCACTAACGACAAGTTGAAGTATGAATGAATTTGTCATGCTCTACGTTGTAAGCAAGTTAGATAATTATTTTTGTAACATCTTTTATACAATTGTTATTGTTTACTCTAGCCATTTCGTTGAGCATCTTAAATGGCATTTACCAGTTTTGCTCTCTTGGAAACCAAAAGAATAGTGGACTGTGGAGTCATTCAAGGAACCGGTCCTAGTGGAAGAAAGTTAATATTTTTGTTTTTCTGTTTTATCTTTTATTTTCAGTTTTAATCAGTTTTATTTCATTTCATTTTGATATTACCCATGTGAAGAAAGTGCCTAGAATTCTAAATTGTTGGTATTGTATGCCTATGATCATTAAAACAAACAAATCTCGTAATCAAAGACCCCATTTGAATTAAAAGAAAGAGAGAGTGATCAGATGCATTCTCATTAATGCGATCGTGAAATTTAAGCGCCGTCATATCATTTCTGTCTGCCGGAAGACAGTGATGGCAAAACGAAAGGGTGAACCCCTGGCGCACCTGTTTGGGGGCGCTGTACAAGAAATAGTGTGATGTAGTGTGTGCACTGTCTTTTGTAACAAGGACTGTCGTTCATACGGGATTGCCTTCGCCCCCTGAAAAGGGTAGGACTGGTTTGCTTTCATGTCTAAAACCAAGTAGGAGTTTTTAGTGACATTAGGACAGGTTGCTGAAGAATTGGGAGTGTCGTTGCTAAAAGACCTCTCTGAAAAGGAGTCTTTGGTTAGATTGTGTGTAAGCAACACATGCTTGCTGTGCCCACCGGTGCACAATCTAGCACCCACCGGGGCACAATCTAGCACCCACCGGAGCACAATCTAGCACCTACTGGTGCACAATCGAGCGCCATTGCTGTTGCTATGATCTACTCTTGTTGTAATGAGAATGTGGAGTCCAAGAAAGAGAGCGTCTTTATTGGTGCAGATAGGATAAGAAGTGAAATTAAAGTGGTGGGGGTCCTAACAGTATCCCACTCAGAATCTCAGATTTATTTGATTAAGCAGTTCCTATTTTGATGTGTTTTTTTGTTGTTTTAATTCAACCTGTAGTATTCTCATTGAAATTTTGATCAGTCTGGACTATTTTGTTATCAGTTGAATATTACTGGATTACTTTTTTAACTTAAATTTAAGGAAATTTTGGCTGATTCTTTCTTTGAATGCATGGCTGTGTGTTTTTGTATTTTTTTCCCCATCTTCCTGTCAAATGTTTGAAACTTTCATGAAATGGTATCTACCAAAGTGTATTATACAATCTGTAACATATATTATTTCCACCCTGTGTGAAAATGTATAGCTAAAGAAGAGATTATGTATTGCTATGTACATATGAAAATTGGAATAGAATTCGGTAGTTCACTTCTCTAATGTAGCCTGTATGTAGATATATTATTATGTATATTTGTTTAACACTCATTTAATGTGATTACGTCCAAATTTATGTTGCCAATATGATAGAGAGTTCTTTTTTCGTTGTATTTTTTCCAGATATTTTTGGTATCTTTTCTGATTGATTGAAATGTCAGATAGATAAGCAAAGGAAATGCGCTTACATGTATTTGTTGTAATTCTTATTTGATGATTCAGTAAAATCGTTATGACTAAACACACTTAAAACATATGTGTCTTGAGTTATACTTGTATTCGTATAGTGGAGATTTGAAAGCAATATGGCATGAATAAATTAGTATTGTCACGTAGGCATTTTGCCAAGCTGTCTCTCTCGAACCTGGTCCACCTTCTTGTCAATCACCACCCCCTCCCCCCCCCCCCCCTCCACACTCGCAATTACTCAATGGGTTTCTCACAAAAATCTATTGTGCAACATGGATCACCTACTTATTCTCTCTCTCTCAACTTTAATAAATACTGGAAAGTATTTCAATAAGTGATATGGATCCCACAGACAGGATAGCTTGGAAAGCAGCCATTAAGGAAATTAAATGTCCAACCACAAAGTGGGCCAAATGGACTTTAAACACTGATGATGATGATGATGACACTAAAAAAAATGTGCTAACAAATCGAAACCTAAAAATGACCACAAAAATCCAGGTGCTGAAATGATATGTAAGGTCCGTCTTCTTGTACGACTGTGAGAGCTGGACTTTGAATAATTCCATTAGACAGCAGAAATGTTGTTCTTGAGAAGAATGCTTAGGATATATTCGCCTGACAAATCAAAGGAAGAAGTGCTCAGTAAGGCATGTGTCGATAGATCCCTTCTTAACATCATTAGGCCTTTAAAAAAAAAGATGTTGTATTCAGAGGCGTCGCTAGACCTTTTTCAGGGGGGGGGGGGGGGGGGAAGGGGATGTAGAGGCCAACGATTACCGACAAAATTAGATGTCCCAATATCTACAAATTTAACCCTATAAACCCGGGGCCCTTCCCCTTTTCTCTTTTTCCCGACGGCAGCGCAATTTTACCGACAATATCCTGACAGGTGTGTGTGTGTGTGTGTGTGTGGGGGGGGGGGGGGTGTCGCACCCCCACCCCCCCTTGGAGACGCCCCTGGTTGTATTGCCCTTTGCGACAGACGCCAACAATCTTGAAATCTGCGGTCGGCTTATTAAAAAAGTTTTTTTTTTTTACCGTTTCTTAGAAGAAAAAAAAAGGAATTCAAAACTGAGAAATATTAGCCCAAAGAGGGAGAAAAAAAAAGAAAAAAAAAAGGGGTTTTTTTTCAAAGATTTCCGACCGACCGACCCATGTTTTGGCACCTAAAGGGCAATACATTTTATTTATGTGTTAGGCCAAAGGAAAATACACGTACAACTTCAGTTTGTTAGGCATTTTATGAGGAGAACCATCACCAGTCAACTACCCCCTAGGACAACTACCCCTAGGATAGTTGTCTGGGTCGTAGGGGGTAGATGTCCGGGCGGTAGCTGTCTGGGGGTAGTTTTCCTAGGGGGTAGTTGTCCTTGGGAGTAGTTGTCCGGGGGAAGTTGTCCCAGGGGGTAGTCGTCCTAGAGGGTGGTTGCCCTAGGGGGTAATTGTTCTAGGGGGTAGTTGACTGAGGGTGGTTATCAGGGGGTGGATGTCCAGGGGATAGGTGTCCTAGAACCATGAAAATGTTAGATGTGATTTTTCCAGTTGAAACACTTGTTATAAAACATACAAAAACACGTCTTTCAAAAACGTAAAACGGCATCAAGAAATCATTTCGCGATATGTTGCCAATGGACAATGCGCAAACCTGTAAGCAAAGATTATTTTTATATTTTTTATTTTTATTTATTTGATTTCCGGGTACATGTTTAAACAAAATAGAAACGACAACTCAGAGCATATAACATTAAAGAGTTCCAAGACAGTGAAAATGCCACCAGCGGACGCCTGAGGATTACCTAAAAGAATTTCCATTCTGTCATGAGGTTCTCCACGTCCGCTGGTGTTACATATAAATAGATTTAAGAAGTAACGGTAAAGTAAAATAACATAATTCAATTTAATGTAATTCATTTAATGTAATACCCGAAGGGATCAGAGATCCGCGCGTAGAGACCTCCACACCACCCTGCTCGAACGCGGGAAAAAGTTCACTCCTCGAAAAGCCCCCCGACGAAAAGGCACTCCGCCACAAGTGCCAGAACTCATTTCGATTCAATTCAACCAATTCACTTAATTTAAGCAAATAAGCTAAACCGAACCGAACCAAATTCCAACATCTACATCAGAACGCCCTCTCAATGGGAGACTGCTCAAAGAGCAAACCCCTCAGCGCACCCAAACAGGGCGATATAGAGGTGTCCACACACAGATCCCTGATCCCTTCAGGTAAAGTATCCCAGAACCTGGAAAAGGCATAAAAGCATGAAAATTTCAGAGCATTTGATCTTGCAAGTTGATGGTTGAAGAAAAGACTATGGGAGCGTCTTGAACTTGGAATGGGAAGAACATAATCTGGTACATTATGACAACTACGGATGCATTTTACAACAAATGACACTGTCAAGTAAATGAGACGATTATACAAGGGTGGTAAAGCTAGCTTCTCCAGACGTTGCTCGTATGTAAGAGTGTTGGAAATGTGGTATGAAATCAAGAACGAGTAAATCGTCTTTGAATAGCATCAAGAGCTAAGATGTGTTTCTTTTGGTGTGGCAACCAATCGGATTTTACTTATCCGGAATATTCGTAGCCTGTCTGTCACCGATCTGTCACCGATCTGTCAACGACGTAAATGAAAAAACTAGATTTCTAAAATCTGGTTTATTCAAGATGGGTCGGGATTTTTCTGTGTGACACCGCCTTATATCGATTTCCCTTCTATATCGTGTAATATGCATTACTTTGCATTTGGAAGCATTGGGTTCCATCTTATTGGGTGTACACCATTGAGATATTAGGTTTAAATCATTCTGAAGCATATTGCAATCATTTGGATTCTGAATCGGGCGGTACAGTACTGTATCGTCTGCATACTGTGGGAGTGAGGAAGATATTATGGGAGGTAGATCAGAAACAAAGAAGTTAAAAAGGGTCGGACCCAACACTGACCCTTGAGGAACTCCAGATGTCACACTGGACCATTCAGAAAATGTACCCTGAAAGATTACCCCGTGTGTAATAATAAATTCACGTTTTTATGACGCAATTCATTTCAAAGTGTTTGGATCACGTCAGTCAAAATAATACTGTCAGATCTGATCGTTTTCAGCAAAAAAAAACAACATCCAAATTGACTTATAAAACACGCATTGTAAAATAATATATTGGCAAACTCACGCGGAAGAAATAAATTTGTGATATGTTGCCAAATTGTGCATTTACAATGCGTATTTTGTAAGTCTTTTCAGAAGTTATTTTGCTTGAAAAATATCTCATCTGACGTTACTATTTCTCTTAAAATACAAGTATATTCTACAATTAATTATTCAGAAAACACATAGACATATTTATTGCACAAGGGACAATCTTTCCAACAGGTTTGCGGAACGTTTATTGGCAACATATCACGAAATGATTTCGTGATATGCTGCTGTTGTACATTTTTTAATGACGCGTTTTTACTATAATTTATTACAAATAATTAAACTAGAAACAAACATGTATGTTTTTTTGTATTTCAGCATTAACAAATTGCCCCCCCCCCCCCTCTCAAAAAAAAAAAAATCTTGTTTAAACAGTACCAATTAAAAGAACTTTTTCCAAATGGAAATTCATACAGACATTCAATGCACTTCAAGCTGGCAACATACCTCGTAATGATTTCTTGCACAGCTTTTGAGCACGAAATCAGAATGAATTTCTGCACAACTCTTGCGTTCGAAATATACATGTTAAAATGGCGCGCTCACGATGAATTCGTGCAATACTTTTGCGTTCGAAATCAATCACTATAACAATTCTTGATAACAAGAAATTGAATTCTTGATATCAAGAATACCATTGGTTCAAAATGGATTTTTTAAATATTTTTTATAGTTTGAACATATTTGTGGCGTACACCCAGTAAATAAGATCGATTGATCGATCTGTAATTGAAAAAAAATTGTTGTAAAGCGATAGTAATTCTTGATATCAAGAAATTGGAAGCACCAAGTCAGGCCACGGGAAAGTCATGTAGTCTCGTTATGCTACACCCCCTTGAAGGACACGAAAAGATCACTTCTTATACAAAATCACCCAACTCTGTATCTCGACATCGAATTCGTCGGAGGTACTTTTTTCATTCAAAAAATATATCACGAAGCAAAAAACTCTCAGAGAGTTGCCTTTAGGTAACCCCAGTAGTAACCTTGTTTTTTGTTAAAGGCAAGGACAGAACAGTAGAGTAGGCTGTAATGAACACGATCCCCGTGGGTAACACAAACGCCCTTTAAGTTGCCCTGAAAGTTTCATTATCATAATGCATCATCATCTTCGACGATCCCTACCTCTGTCAATAGAATCGATTTGTTTAACAACCTCTCCGGATCGTGATCTGTAGTCAGCAAAGTAAACGTAAAACGGCTATATATATATATATATATTTGAATTAGCCACAATATCGTAAGATAGCAAGTTAAGTCCATTGTGATGTCAACTAAATGAAATAAATTCATATCCAGATCGGGTGACTGTTGACAAAAGAGCCAGCGGAGGAGTCACCTTTCCAGGAGCAAATAAGGTCGTATAATTAGTGAAAACAAGATTGATAACTTTGCAATATCAGTATCAAACTGGCCGGTTTGATTCATACTTTCTGGAGCTTGGTCAATAGAACTGACGCAGGGGCTTAATACATTAAGGGTCTGTATTGACGAGAATATGTTTTGTACTGTTAGCCAATTTGTTGACACAGTCGTGCTTAATTTCAGTTAAATATCATTTGAAGTTAACATCCGATGACGCTTAAAGGGGCACGTTCCCGCCAGTGTAGTTATCGGAACATGCCATCTGCGTGAGAGCCGTATTCTGTTGGTGTCAATAGGCAGCTTTAGCACCGTCCGCCAGCGCGTACGTATTTTGAACGCCCTCTGGAATACGGGGAACATGCCCCTTTAACTTTACGTAAGACTTAAGATTGCGCATTGGCTTTACGGAGCAACAAAAACTTTGGTTAAAAGCCATCGTCTCCATTTATTTGAAGAGGGCTTGAATTTAGCTGTATGCTTCAGATATTGCTT